GAATGGATTTATTTTTTTTTTTTTTTTTTTTTTTTTTTTTTTTTTTTTTTTTTTTTTTTTAGTTCAGCCCATGTAAAATTGAAAATTAGCCCGTGTGGTGTAAACCCAGTTGTAACAAAATGAGCAAATGACCCAACTTCAATTTATTGGCCCAAACAAAACATAAATTTTATTTTCCATTTAAACCCAAAACTAAAACCAAACACAAGCCAAATTTAATTCTAATCCAACATTCTCCAACAACAGGTCCAAAACGATTCCTCTCCAACCTTTTTTTTTTTCAAAATTTCAATCCAAAAATTCTATAAAAAATCAAGGAACTCATTACCCTAATCAAAGATTTCATAGCCTAATACCTTCTAGTAGTGCCGGCGTGCCGCGAAGAATCGTTGGTCCGCCGTGTAGGAGTCCAAACCGCCAGTTCGCCGGCGCCACTGCTGTTCTTCATTTCTCTTTGTATGCCTGTGAGCCTCTCTCTCTGAATGGCTATTATGGTTTGTATTATGTAGAGTTTATATACCATAGTTGTATAGGATAATAATAGGATTAGAAAATCTAAAATCTGAAAACCAGAAAGCGGAAATGAAAACTGGAAACAGGAGGCCCAAATGCTGGAAGTGTTGGAACTTAGAAAATAAAAAGAAGAAGAATGACCCTTTTAATTTATATGGATTGTTGACATAGGGATTGGAAGATTTTGATAAAGTCAAAAGTTAATTAATTAAATAATAAGAATTGTTTGTCACTTTGTCTGTTTGTGGCATGTGGTTTAAAGCACAAATAGATTATAGATATTATCTCATCTCATGTCTATCTTTTGAAGTCATTATTTTTATATTGTTTAAATTATTTTGATTGATTTTCACAAAATACAAAAATGAAACAATTGCAATAACTGTAAAGTAAATAAAAAATATTAAAAAAATGTATAATTGTAAGGTAGTAACTTAGATTTTATAACTTGGACCATTTTTTATATATATTTGTCATTAATATTATATTGATTATTGAGTATGAGTTTTTTAAAAATCGAAGTTTTCTTAGATTTCGATTGTCAACATGCTTAATTGAATTATTTTTCGATTTCAAAAATGCAGTAAACTTATCATTATCAAGGCATAGACGTGGTCCCGGTGCAACGAACATGTAGGAAAAGCAAATTGCAAGAGCTTAATATACTCCCTCGTCACTTGTAAGTAAATGCCCTCGTCTCTCCACTTGGGACCTTGCCGGCAAAATATTGAATTATTTAATTAATTATTGTTGAAATGTTGTCTTGTCGACTTAATGACTTGTTTTTGCCTTGTTGGCATGTTGCCTTGTCGGTTTAATGATTTTTGTTGTTGTCTTGTTGGTTTAATGATTGTTGTTGTTGCCTTATCAATTTAGTGGATTATTTTTTTATTGTCGCTAGAATAATATCATTGATAATTGATTTTTTTCTTTTTTACCTTTTTTTTGCAATTGTAAGAATTGAAAATGGAAGGTCAACCTCCTCTCCAAAAGAATAAGAACTTGTTTTCATTCTTCCAAAGGGCTGGACAACCTACTGAAAGTACAACTTCTGATGAACTAACTGAAGATCTACCTTCATTTCCTTCAGAAGTTGAACATCGAATATCCTCAAATATTAGCATTGAACGAGAATCAGGAAAAAGAAAGCAAAGACTAGAATTTCCTTCTAATCTGCGGGATGAAATTAGAGTGTCGAATCTAAAGGCTGGGCCTTATAACCAAGACTTGTTAAGTATCCTAGAGCACAAGGAAAATCTCAATTTCGTCGCTTTCAGGCAAAATGGTTCAACCAGTTTCTTTGGTTAGAATATTCACCTACAATAGATAGAGCATATTGCTTTTATTGTTATCTTTTCCGGAATGATGGAAATCCATCCAATTGTTCGGCATTGGTAACTTCTGGATATAACCAGTGGAAGAGGGTTAATGACGGAGCAAAATGTGTATTTCTTAATCATTTGCAATCATCAGAACATAATATGTGTGAGAGAAGAGCTAAAGATTTAATGAAACCGTCTCAACATATTGATAAAGTGATACATACCATATCGAATGAAGAAGTTGAGGAACGTCATCTAAGTTTAAAGACTTCAATTCGAAGTGCACGTTGGCTAGCATTTCAAAGTTGTTCCTTTAGAGGTCATGATGAATCTTCATCTTCATTAAATCGTGGGAATTTTATTGAGATGATAAAAATTTTGGCAGAAACAAATACAGAAATTGATAAAGTTGTGTTGAAAAATGCTCCAAAAAATGTCCAATACATTGCTCCGAGTATTCAAAAAGAAATCTTACACATAATGGCGAATAGAGTAAGAAGGGTGATTCGTGAAGAAGTTGGGGATGGATACTTTTGTATTTTTGTTGATGAAGCACAAGATGCATCTAAGAGAGAACAAATGGCTATTATTTTGAGGTTTGTGAATGGTCAGGGTATTTTAACGGAACGCTACTTTGATATCAAAAGCGTCAGCGACACCACATCATCAAGTCTAAAAAATGAGATTGTAAATGTTCTTGCTCAACATGAACTTGAAGTGTCAAAAATGAGAGGCCAAGGATATGATGGTGCTAGTAATATGCGGGGTGCTTGGAATAGACTTCAGGCATTATTTCTTAGAGATTGTCCGTATGCGTATTACGTCCACTGTTTCGCTCATCGATTATAGTTGGTATTGGTTTATGCAGCTAAAGAAGTTGATGTTATTTGGGAGTTCTTTTCTCATCTGGACAATATTATCAACATTATCACTTCTTCCCCTAAGCGCGTTACAGAGTTACAATCTGCTCAAAGAATTGAAATTGAGCATATGTTAGCTATCGGGGAGCGTGAGTCGGGAAGTGGAGCAAATCAAGTGGATAATTTACAACGACCAGGAGCAACTCGTTGGAGTTCTCATTATGACTCTATAAAGAGTTTAATAGATATGTATAATGCAACTTGTGCAGTGTTTGAAAATCTTAGTGTTCATTGTCCAAATGGAAAATCTCGAGGTGAAGTTCGTGGTACTTACAAACATATGAAAAGTTTTGATTTCGTGTTCAGTTTGCATTTAATGCATACCATCATGAGAATAACTGATGTTTTTTGTCAAGCCCTTCAAAGGAAATCTCAAGACATCCTGACAGCTATGAGATTCGTTTCTACTACAACAAAACTCCTCCACAAATTAAGAGATGATGATTGGGAAGAATTTCTTGAGGAAGTGAAAAAGTTTTGCTCAAAACATGATATTGAGATACCCGATCTAGAAAGTTTATATAAGGTTGGTCCTTGCCATTCTCGTGATCCAATTACAATGAAGCATCATTATCACTTTGATGTTTTCAATGAAGCAACAGATTACGTATTGATGGAATTAAATACAAGATTTAATGATACATCAGTTGAACTTCTTACACTTAGTGCAGCGTTGGATCCCAGGGATTCATTTGCATCATTTAACAGTCATGATATTTGTACACTTGCTAAGAAATTCTATCTTGAAGATTTTCCAAAGGAAGATATTCGTACTTTGGAATTGAGTTGCGACACTATGAGCTAGATATGAAGACTGAATCTCAATTTCAAGTATCTACACTTGTTGAGTTATGTTGACAGTTAACTGAGAGTAGAAGATCAGAGATTTATGTTATGGTTACTAGACTTATTCGTCTTGTACTGACTTTACCTGTTTCTACCGCGACTATCGAGCGAGCATTTTCAGCAATGAAAAATGTGAAGACGGACTTTCGTAACAAAATGGAAGATGAATTTCTTGCTGATTGTATGACACTCTTCATCAAACGAGAACTTACTCAAAAGATAAATATAGATTCTGTGATAGATGAATTTTATGTCTTAAAACCTCGTCGGGAACAGCTTCAAATTAAATGAATTTGACTTTAATATAATATATAATTTTATTATATTGACTTTTAAATTTTAGTCCGTGCGCCAAAAATTCCTAGATCTGCCACTGCCTACCATGAACAGGTTCTCCTCATCAAGACAACCTAAACCATGGTCAAACATCAAACAAAACAACCTCCAATAATCTACCATGTCTCAGATTTTTCTGCAGTCACGGTTAATTTATTATAGGGGACCATGAAAATTACCATGTATTATTCATTGCATCTGAAAATAGGGATTGTGTAGACTGTGAAGCAATTGGTTGTGCAATTGATCCAATAGTTTGTTTACCCATGAATGTATGATCCCTGATTTGATGTTAGATGGTCGAATTCATTGGTATGAACGAGTTCTGGCCGCTAATTGTATTATACACCACCATCCTTATCGCAATTGTTGAGGCTGAATTTGGAGGCAATTGATCAACAATCGTATCAATTAATTGATTACCCATTGTTGTTTGAATGTTAATTTGATTTTCCCTAAGACAATTTGTGGATTATTCTATGTGGGAGCCATAAGTGAATGGAGAGAACAACCTCTGTTTGCATGTGATCTGTACGAGAAAACCTAAAAAATTCATCTATTGTTTGCACTTTGTTTGATGAATTCTCTCCATGGAGTTGTACACCTAGGACGTGCGATCAATCGGTAGTGGTCTGCGATCGTAGGTGTCATTGAAAGAAGTGGTGCCGCGACTTTTTCTATTTTCTACTTGCTAGTATTGAGCGCTGATTTCTATCAAATCTATTGACATGGTGGCTGATTGATGTATGTGCAGAGGAAAGTGGAGGCTGTCTGGAGGTATAGAGGTTCGACGACTTGGACTGTAGTCGGTTGGCATTTGTTGGGTGGCGATTGTTGATTTATGGTTTCATAGTGATGGCAGTGGTGAATGGTGTTGGTGGTGGGAAGAGAAAGAAGGAAAGGAAGTCATTTTTTTTATAATTTTGATTTTTTAATTATTTATTTGAAATTTATTTATACTTTTAAAAAAAAAATTCGGAAGTATAGTTGCAATTTATTTTTTATTTTTCTTTTCTTTGTTTTAGTTTTATTTAAATAGGAGGATATATTGGTAGTTTAACAGCTTCTAATTTAGAAAATGGATAAAAAGGATGCTTTTTCACAATGAAAGGTGAAAGATAAGGGGTTAAAATACCAAAAAAAAAAAAAATATTTTTTGTTTATCATTTACTACAGTTCCCAAAAAAAAATTGAAAAAAAAGGGAAAAAAAGAAAAAGGAAAAAAAACAGGAAAAAAAAGGAACTTTTTAAAAAAAAAAAGGGAAAAAAAAAGGGAAAAAAAAAAAAAAAAAAAAAAAAAAAAAAAAAACGTAGGAACGTTTTGTACAATAATATTGAAATATAAAAACGTTTTGTGCTAATTAACCTTATGATTTCATTTTTTCGTTTATTTTTCGCATAGGTATACTCCTTTAGATTTTTGGATTGGAAGTCCAAAAATTTCTAATTTCTAGCATATTCAATTGAGGTATGCCTTCCTTTTATTTGGCAAATTATTTATTCGATCGATATCTTTCAATGAATTTATTTTGATTACTCGCTATATAATGCAGTACATCATGGGCAAAAGTATTGTCGACAATTTTTTCTTTTTTGATCCTATTTCTTTTTTTATAATGATATAATTTATTGAGATATCTCAATTTTTCACATTTTAGGTACCTAAACTTCTTCTAAAATTTTATGACTTGTTATGTGTAAATACTCATCAAAAGAGTATATGCCTCTTTAATGGGACCATCTTTGCTAATTGCTTCATTTTCGTATGTAGATTTTTATATTAGAGCCGAATATTATCACGCTTCAGGTGTGTTATAAATTTATCAAATATAATATTGACTAATTGTCCTCTAAGATGTTAATTTGAGTTGAAGCATTTAAAATTGGTTTGCGAAATATTATTGATCTTTTTTGCCAATAAATGTATCTAAATTATCTTTCAAACAATTGACAATTAGCAAACCATATTATAAAATATCACACATGCTAGTTTAAGATATTTTATAAGTGTTTAAAATAAACATGTATTCTTAGCATTCTTTAATATCCATCTCAGTGCACCGCGAAAAAGATCATTAGATGGAAAGTATTAGACTATAACTATAAGGCAATTATAATAGGAAGAACTTGATGTTGACATGATGTATAATAGTATTCCCTGAACAGAAGTGGGAAGTACTTTATTCTCAATAATAATGATTTATAAATTAATTTGGAGACATCTAATGAATAATAATAGAGTTAAACTATTTATTGCCATACCAACTAACATTTATTAAAATGTTGAGATTTAAGTTCACTAGCATTAACAAGACACATCGTCTTAATTGTATAATTTGAAAAATATGCTCATAATTTAACTTTTGAGCAGTAATTTTGCAAGTTTCAGGATGTGAACATCGAACAATCATCTAGTAGATGTATCAAATTTATTAGATACAAATAATATTTAGATGATCAATGTGGAGGACGACAGACCCCATATATTTTCCTAGTTAATTTTCAAAAGTTTAGTAAATTAGTTCCAATTTTAACTAGTGACGATCAATGACCAATTTTCAATAAAAAGACCAAACATTATGCACAAATTCTTGGGATTAAAGAATCTTTTGGTTTTCTATTAAATTAGAAATTGATCGTAGATTAGTAATTTGTTCTAGCAATAGTAAAATTTAACCCTAAATATAACATAAAATTAGCTCTTTTGGAGCTTTCAATCAAATCTATAGAACCCGATATTGTATTATTTTAATCGCTTTCATTTTTGTTTTTCTCCTTTAGAAGTTGCGACAAGTTTAATTAGATAATTGATGTACGTTATGTACTATAAATGATCGAAAAAATGTTTTATTGGGGGTGTTTGAGTCACATTATTTTGGTAATAATGCATTTTTGAATAGTGTATTGATGGGAAATGTGTGGTTAAAAAATAAGATTTTTTTGATTTGCGTGTAATATTATTTTATTGAAAAATCATGTGTGGTTGAAATGATGTGAAATCACTGTTTAAGAATGCATTTTTTTGGAATAATGTGGCTCAAATAGACCCATTGCCATTTTCTCAACAGAAAAGTCCAAATAATTTTTATTGATATAACATAAATTAACAATTAATGACACCCGTATAGTATCTATTAAGAATTAACTTTAATTGATAATTGATGTTTAAATCAATAATATCAAATAGTTCAAAGCAATTCAAATATTTAAATGATTGACATCTAAATTTCAATTTTAAACAAAACTCAATAATGCATTGTGCTTTTAATATTCAAACTAAATGATTTAGATTCAAAATGTTGGCTTTAAATTTTTCATGTAAATCGTAAATAAAAAAAAATATGAATTGATCAATATAAACTTTTAAATATATATACTCATCACATTTTCAAATTTCATATTCTCAAAGATCCAGAATCAATGAACAAAAATATTTAAGCATTGTATTAGTAAAATTGAATGATAAACTTCTAAGTATCATCATGACATATATGTGTATTTATATAATAAATGAAATTGGTATGATTTCATGTGGACCTAAAAGATTACCTTAACACGCATTTAATACTACAGATTTAGTAAAAGGAATATACATGCCCTTTCATCTTAAGTTGTGACCATTTTTTTTCACTAGCAAATTCTATGTTCATGAGTTCAAAATATATAGTTTCTTTTATTTTTTTATGAATGCACTCAAAAGAACACACGGTAACTCATTCACGACATTCGCACCAAATATAATAATTTAATAAAAAATAATAACAATCAATAGATGATGAATGACAAATTTTTTATGTAATTAAAGCCTTTTTTTTCTTTAAGGCTCTGAATTGACAATTCGCAATTACTTATCATCAAAATGATTAAATTTCATTAATTTAGCAAAGAAAGCTAAAAAAAATATTTGTGTACAAGACACAAGAAAAAAGCATACTTTTCAATTTATGATATTCAATGAGATTTATACTACTTTGGGAGTACAAAATGATATTATTCAATAATTAAAACTAATAAATTTCTGCTCTTCAGGAGCAATATTACAATATTTTTGAACATATTATAAGGTCATAATTTGTGCTTTTTCACGAGCAACAAAAATTATTCATCTTCAATGAAAAAAAATCCAATATTCTCCTAAAATATTGATTCTAAATTCATACTCTTCCAAGAGTAATATACAATATTTTCATTGAAGTCTATAAATTCGTGGTTCTTCATGAATAACAGCGTAATATTTTTGAATAATATTAGTAAATATAGAATTTTGCTTCTTCTACATCAACACAATATTCTTTTAGAATATTGATTTGTATAAATCGATTTAAACAATTCCACAGTATTCTTTTGGAATATTTAAATATTATAATCGTGTTTTGTTTCAAAGCAACAATTGATCATCCTTCTAGTATATCAATTTAAATATAAAACTATTCTTTTTCTATGTCAATATTCTTATGGAATATTGAAATTATAATGTCATTGTAAGGTCTTGAATTTTATATTTTTAATTTGGTTGATATTACCTATTTAAGAAATGAGCTATATAAGCTTAACCCATTTAAGGTTATGAAAGCCCAAGCCATTATTTTTAAGTCAAAAACTCTTCATTTTGCACACTAAGAA